AGAATATTTACAGGTGTTATCAACCCAGTACTTGATTCGTAGTTTTTTTCTGCGCTAACTACCAATTAAAAAATAACAACTATGTATCTGTAAAGAATATATAAAAGAAATTATGTAAGTGTAGAATAACTCATTTTCGACACCTATTAGTCTGTGGCGGAGGGAGGTGAGGGCAGCGCAATCCATGGCCCCCACTTAAATTTCAAAAAAATAAAAATAAAAATTCTATTACTTATTATTTTTATATTATTAGATTTTGTTATTTGAAATCCGAGTTATGTGACTCACAGCTGCCTATGGTACCAATGGGGAAAAAAAAGAAAAGAAAAAAAGACTCGTCTCCTTTCTTTCTTTCTTTTCTTCAACAAAAATTTAAATTTTATTATGTGCGATGTTCGATAACATTCAAAATTACCAAACCTTGGGGATGACTTGCATTTTTCTTGTAGATTTTGTGTAGAATGCAAAGAAGCCATTCTTCACAGTTCTTCCATCTTCTTGAAACATCTGCAATATTATATGGTATACTGAGAATACATTGATGAGAATTATTTGCAGTTGTAGTATTCATGCAAAAATCTATTTCTAGAAACTGAAGGCTACAAATTCATAGCTGGAGTTTCCTTTATATACAAATTCATATCTGGAGTTATCTTGTGCAGGTGGTCGAAAATTGCTAAGCATTTGCCTGGACGAACCGATAATGAAATAAAGAATTATTGGAGAACAAGAATCCAGAAGCACATTAAGCAAGCTGATCAAACTTTCACTGGACAAAATCTTGATCAGACTCATCATGATCAAGCAAGCACAAGCCAAATCTCCAGTTACTATCCTCCTGATCATGCAGTTGAAATTTACTGTCCACCGTCGATTGATGGACACATGGAAACTTTCCATGGACCTTTCCCCACTGAATCAAATGAGAACATATGGAGCATGGAGGATCTTTGGTCCATCCAGTTATTTAATGAAGACTAATTATTTATCCATGATGATAGATTAAAATCCAAAACCCTAGTGAGTTGTGCTTTTATTCAAGTGCTGTAATATGATGATGTATAAGAACTTATATAAACATATATATACATCTGTTTATATAAATATATAAACTTAATGGGATTTTTATCTTGTGGTGATAATTCTTGAATCTATTGCAGTTGAGTTTTACGTAGATTCGTATTGTTTAATGCTTGTTTGGAATAATTTAAAAAGTTGATAAAAGGTTAAAGTCAAAGTCAATAGCTAATTTGATTTTAATCCAAGTTAAAACCAAACAATCAATATTATTCACATTTTTCATGGGTCCCATAACTTTTCAACCACACATTTCAAAAATTTCTATCATAATCTACTAAAAATTTAATTTTAATCCCGTCATTTATGTTTTGCTTCGATTAATAAGCACATAATCCAGATTTTATAGCTTACTCAATTGGTTGATTGGATGTCTAAGATGTTTGCTTGTTAAGGAACTTTTGGTAAGAGATAACATTGTACATGCCCCCCAGGGTATAGTTCAATGGGACAAAGGACATGAGTGAGGTTATCTCACACCCTTCTAGCAGTTACAGTGTGGTGATTCGATTCCTGAAACATGAAATTTGACTTATTGTAGGCGCAATGCATAAGCAGCTCTTGTTCCTTGGCCTTTTGAGATATATCCCGCGATCTAACTCTCTCACAAAACTCTAAGAGTAGGGCGGTAGGGACCCTCAAAGTTGAGGTTCTAACTTTTTTTTTAAAAAAAATTGTACATAGTTGGAAAGTTTACGTGAGAGATACGACTTGATTAATGATTAACCAACTTAAGTATTGTCATAATCACTTTTTTATGAAGTGTCTACTTCTCTTATCTTTTCACATAATTTTATTGGCCCGTTGGACTGAAAGTGAAAGGTTTCACTGTTGATTAATATTGTGACGCATTGTTACGTTAAATTAGACAATATGAGAGACTAGAACTAAGCTTTTGGCATGCACAAGTCGTTTTTAATTTAATTTTTTAAATATTTTTAAAATAAATGACAACATGAAAAAAATTCTTAGGTTATGATGCATCAAGCTCCCATATCTCATATTCTCAAAAACGGCATAGTCAAAGAAAAATACAAGTCGAGTTGGACTTATAGACAGATCGTGCCCTAGATATTTCAAATGAGACTTGACATGAAACATTTTCAACTTCATATATGATCAAAATAATTTCGTCAAATATACTTTTTCTTAGCCTATGTTTGTTTCTCATTTTTAGCAAATGGGAATGCATTTTTAGACCGTTGGTTTCCTGCAATTTTTACAAATTGTGAGAGGTCAGTCAACAAAAGCGGCTTGGTGGGACCCATAAACAACTTGATTTCTTCTAAAAAGGAGAAAAAATGACCACCAAATAGGACATTAATGTCATTTTGATATATATTTCAAATTTATAATATGTCTCGAACAATATATATCATGGATGTAAGTTATGTACATGATCTCTATCGTGCATGTAATGTAAAAATTTGATATTTTTATTTCCATATGGTTGATAAGATTCATGCGGGAAACAAATACCGAACAATTAGGCACGGAGGCATAGCTTATTTTGGCAAATTTCAATTTTTACTTTCTAAATTCGCTCATTTTTTTGCATGACCTTGTGAATATTAATTCGATGGATGCCTAACTCTCTAACTGCCCATAGGGAGATCTTCACGTGGTCCCAATTAATTGATACTCCATTTTTCAACTTAATGCAAATTTAGACTTTCACAACCTTATTAATGACAACATTAAGGTAGACTAATGATAAACTTTACTCACTATTATTCATTTCTTGAACGTTTAAGTTCATTGCACTCCGATTCAACAATGAATAATTTCTCGATCGCTCGTCTTTCTTTAACCGCTTTTTAATGAAGCTAATTGATCAATACGGTTTTACAGGGAGCAAAAGCCTTGAAATTAAGTGTCGTGTCATCATTTTAGGAAAATTGAAAAGTACGAATAAAAGTCGAGCTAAAATTAAATTTAGGGTAAAGTAAAACTTAGAATGATAGTAGAGATGAGTTTTTTTTAGGTAAATTAATTTTTTGGGGCTCAATTTTAGGAAGTAACGCAATTATTGTCCAAAAGCATTATATATCAGACTTCTGATGAAAGAGAAATATGATGTATATAAATGTACTATCTCTAATAGTATAAAATTTAAAATAATATTCATATATATTTTATAACAATGTGTAATAACATTTATAGGTAAAACTCATTGCACTCTTGTACTTTATTGTGTTGGCAAGTCTATCTTTATACATAAATTTATAAGTGGAAGATCGCAATTAAATCTATTTATACATGAAAATTCTCTCAAGAATCTTTATAGAAGAGCAAAGAAGAAATTTTGTTGTGGGCTTTTATTGTACCCAAGTCATACGAATGAAACTCTTTCAATTTTGGGTCACTAGTTTTTTCCCTCACGTTTTTAATGTGAATTTCAATGGGAAAACACAAGGGATAACTGCCACGTGAAACATGATTAACAATCATATGACGTGTCGGTAATGAATGTTTATACATGGAATTTCTTGAAGAAAAATAAAATTTTAAATTCGGGAAAAGGAAAAATTCTATCATTGTCTAGACCATGCAGAGGAAGTCTTGTAAGTAACATTTAGTAGTACTTATTCTTTCATACTGTCTAATATCGTATAATCAATTATGTTCAACAAGTCACTAGAGAATCATCGAGAGTTTGGGCTTTCTTTTGGCCTACTTGGATTTTGGATATGTCTCTTGCAACACTGCTTTTTAGCTCCCTCGACCAATTGGATTTTGATTCGAATATTTTTGAATTTTATCCTATTATTGATTTGATGATTTGATAGATCTAATTCAATTAGCATGTGAAGTGTAGCATGTATATTGGTCAAGAATTGTTTCGTTTAATTTTCATTTTGTCCATTTAATTTTTTGGTTATAATTTGAGTTTTACTAAGCATATTTGTGTAAACTCATGCCATAAACCTCGATAAGAAACATCAACAACCCCATGTCACTGGAAATAGTGCATAAAAGACAACAAGAGACAATTTCATATTTTTGGGCTCAAGTAATTACTGAGCACATCGAAATATAATCAAACATAAACGTAAAATTGAAATTGAACTAACAAATTCATTACTCAGAGTGCATTCAAATCGGCCGATTTGATCTTATACTACTCCAAGAAAGTATCCTGAAAGCACATCCACAATTCGAAATAAAGACTTCATCTTTATTTGCACACCAATCTTCTATTTCTTCTAGTGGATTCTTTCTATAGATAGCCCAGTTCAACAAACCAACCCTTTTTAACTACCAATTAGATAGAAACAATTCAAAAGACCAAATTTACCCATAAAGTGAGAGTTGGGGATGTATCCATCAAGATTTAAAGGTTAGGGACCATTTGTGCAACAACCCTACAGGCTATGACCATTTTCAACAATTCCCATAAATGAATTATAAATCCAATCCCTGTCAAAAGATAGAAGTCAATCAAGAAAATATCACGCTTTGTAAGGAGAGAGTGAGAGACAATAAATCGAAAGAAACTTTGAGACGGGCCTCTTTACCCTTCTGTATAAATGGGCTACTTTTTTAGGTGGAGTTTAGGCCCTCCAATTTTATTTTATTTTTTTCCCCCTCCTGATGTGTTCATCTGGACTAATTTCAAGATTTCATTAATAACCTTTTTTTTATACCTATTATTTTACTGATTTTTAGATTTAATTAGCTCAATTCAAGAAAAATAGTTATTGCTTAATTTTCAAACCTATTATTCCCAACTCGATTCATGAATTCATTGTATATATGCTCATTGCTTAGAATAAATGTATCACATTTATTAAGTACATGTACAATACCAAAAGACAATTCAATTAACTTACCTAAATAAATAAAGTTTATATTGTCCAATAAATAACCAAAAATCAACAATTTGAAAAGAAGAAAAAATAAAAGACAGTGAGATGATACGTAGTAATGTGTTTATGTTTTTCAAAATTCAATAATTGATCAACATTGGCCAAATCTTTGCTCACATGACAAGCCTCCTCAATCTTTTCTCATGCAAAGATATCAGAATTTGTATGCATGTTAGCTCGATGGAATTGAAGTCATGTATCTTCCTAAAAGTTCAAATTTAAAACTATTGACTAACCTTAAATAGAGCATCAAAAGCTTTGGCTATGTCTTTAATTGAAATAAATCAAAATAATCACTACGTGCTACTCCAAAAATAGCGAGAAACTATTTTGATGACAAACTCTTCATCGCAAGCTTATCGGCAAGAAATGATGGTCTTCCCCGAGCCTTCTTTAATGACCTATAACTGAAAGCTAATCGAATAAAACGAGAATTTCTATCAATGTAGATGATTGGATACAGAAAGCAAAACTTCCAACTAATGAAGGAAAAAAAAAATATATATATATATATATATTATCAAAAAACAGAGAGCAAAACAAAAAATGGAAAACTATATGTAGTAAACAATTAATGATAAAAATAAGAAAAATCATGCATTTTTTCTTGACAAAAATATGTCACCTTGTTGACTCGTTTCATGCTCATCTCCATTTTATAATTTATTGAACAAATCTCTCTTCACTGCTATTCAACAGCAATTATTGTAAACAACCGCTCTTGATCCATGTGCTTTTCTTGAACCTCATTTTTTTTTTATCTTAAACAACCTGAAAATAAAGTTTTGAATAATTGAAATCGCGATCAAAGAACAAGTTAAGATTGCATAAAATTACACTTTGCAAATATTGAACAATCTTTGCGCATCTCTGGATAAAGGAGCTCCACCGCGAAAAATAAATCTGATTTCTCTGCCTATTCCTTAGTTACAAAAGGAGAATACAAGGCACTAACTAATTTACGATCACAAAATTTCATTAGTCTGTTTCAAAACTCAATGCACCAGTCACCTAATCTCCGATCAAGCATTAAATTTTGTAATGAAAAGCCTTGTTTGATAGCAAAACTGACGTATATAGGAAGACAATTAAAGAAAAATTTCAAGCAATTGGAAGGTCCTAGAATCCCCCTGTAACATATATTTTAGCTCCTTTGTATTCCACTA